GGCCAGCATTAAGGCAAGTTTACTGAGGCGACAGCTGGGGGAGGCTTTGAATATTTCAAAATGATGGATAAATGCACAAGAAAAATCACCCAGATGAAAGCAAAAGTGGAAAGACAGAGACCAAAGTGGTCTGCTGACCCAGCATCTACAGATACAAGTTTCATTTAAAAGGAAATTCAGGTTCTTTTACTGGAACTTTTGAAACAAGGTGTACACAAACATGCCAAGTCCTGCAGCCTTTCCACACCAGCAGCCTTCCTCCAGATGTTACTTGTATGCTTCTGACCTGCTGTCTGGGGTTTCTGGTTTTTTTTCTCTTTTTGAAGTGGTGTCCCATTTCCTGTGCACAAAGACCATTCCCCTGTTTCATTTTGGGGCCAAATTAAAAATGTCCTAATGGTTTCTGCTTGACATCCAGCTCTGCTCTTGATTGGCTCCAGCTCCCCTACTCTTATGGGGCCTTTTGGTCAGAAAGTGGTTTTACAGAGCAGACCAACATCTGCCCTGAAAATGTAGATGTGCAGCCTAATTGTAAATCAATCTGGGCTGCTCCCCTCAGTAAAACAAAATAAATCACGCTGAAAAGTGGGATACAGTGTTGGCTCCCAGGGCCAAGAGCTCTGCAGCTCTTCACATGCCAGGTCAGAGCTCCACATACGTTCTGCAGGCTCTGCCCTACCCCACAAGCAGTGACGGCCACCGTGGTCTTCCCAGAGCAATTCCCAGCCCATCCCTTCCTGAAAAGCTCAGTCAAACCATTCCCGGCTCATTCACCAACCCCGGGAGCATCACCCAGCCCCCACCCTTTTTTCTGACCCTCCCCACAGATGTGCACGCTGCAGTGAATTATCAAAGCGTGGCCCTTTACTCCGGCAGATGAGTGATTTGCAGCGGAAATGGGTTTGGCTCTAGCTCCGATTTGTTCCCGGGAAGTGGGCTTCTGACCCTGCCGACGTCCCTGGGAACGCTGCCAACCTCTTCAAAGGGGCCAGGCCTCGCTTTGTAAGCTCACCTCTGGAATTTGGCTTGCAAACACCTATGAAGGTGCCGGTCACTCAAGGAAGGCGATGGAGGAGAGCAGGGCTCAGAGTCCAAAGGGTGATGCTGCACATGGTACATACCTGAGCAAATACTGCTGCAGAAATAGTGTGAACACTTAGCACAGCCCTGCCCTCGGCTGCAGCCCTGTGTCAACTATCGTCAAGGAATGACAAAATGAAAGGTGTCCGAGAGGAAGGGACTGTAGACTCACACGTGCCTCTTAAATATCACGTCCAGCTGCCACAGCCTTTCCTGACTTCCCTGTAGCGCTGGGCACTGCCCAGGTTATAACTGTGGGGACTTCCCTAGAGGAGGGAATGGGCTAGGGGGGAGAAAATGGGATAAACCCAGTGGTTACAGGGGATAAAAATAAGGGGAAGCAATCTGAGTGCAAAACTGGAGAGGTGGGTTGCCCTCAGGAAAGGACAAAGGAAGGGCTGATGGCGATGGTGCAGAGCTGGGGGATGCAGGGCCTCAAATGAAGCTGGTGGGCTTGGTCAGGCCCTGACTGAGTCTCCTGGGGTGATCAAAGGCTGGACTCAGACCAGATGTCCACGGGAGATGGCAGAAACCCACCTCAGGCTAGGCTCAGACCTCTCTGCCCGAGATAGAGATGACGCCAGGGCAGACCCAACGCTGTGAAGATGCACATATCCAGGTCCCTAGGAACAGAGGGTGGGGAGCATCCTGTACCGCATTAGGGATCTGAGAAGCGGCAGGGAGTGCTGAGGGGCAATATGGGGGCTGTCTGTGATCACAGTGGCCCCATCCTCACCACGGGGGAGGCCAACCTTGACGGGCAGAGGAAACATGGGTGGGGAGGGGAGCGGGCAGACAGGACTGGGGTCCCCTGATACGGCAGCAGCTGAGTGGAAGCCCTCGGGGAGGCAGCCCGTGGGGGAGGCATCCCCTCCCCAGAGCCGGCCCAGCCGGGGCAGCCTCCAGGACCCTCCCTTTGTCTCGGGGTCCCCCCGGCGCCCCCATCCCCGGCGCCCCGCGGGCCCGGGCGGGAGCGCGGCGCGGGGGCCGGGCGGGAGGCGGGGCGGGAGGGGGCGGCGGGCCGGGCTCCCCGGGGGAGGCACCGGAAGGCGCCCGGCGCTGATTCATTGCAATAAATTGTTCCCATCGCGGCACGGCTCGGTCATCGCCGCCCGAGCAGCAGTCGGAGCAGCAGCCGGAGCCACCGCCGGGGAACGAGGATGAAGATGCAAGCCGAGGTGATCCGCGAGGGCGAGCTGGAGAAGCGGAGCGACAGCTTGTTCCAGCTGTGGAAGAAGAAGCTGGTGGTGCTGACCAAGGACAGCCTCAGCCTCTTCCCCGACGGGCACAAGCGGGCCAAGGGCAAGGAGCTGGGCTTCGGCTCCATCCTCAAGGTGGACTGCGTGGAGCGCACGGGCAAGTACATCTACTTCACCATCGTCACCAAAGACCGCAAGGAGATTGACTTTCGGTGTCCGGACCAGAGCTGCTGGAACGCTTCCATCACCATGGCCCTCATCGACTTCCAGAACAAGCGGGCCATCCAGGACTTCAAGAGCCGCCAGGAGATGGAGCAGGCGGCGGGCACCCAGGAGCGGCGGCTGGCCCGGGCGCCCTGAGGCGCCGCCGCCCGCCCGGCCGGCCCGGCCCCAGGTGAGCCCGCCCGGCCCCTCGGCGCTGCTGCCGCGCCTCTCCGTGGGCTTTTCGCTTCATCTTTGTAAATGCTTCGGGCAGGCGGACGGGTCGGGGCTCCCCTCGGGGCCGGAGGGGCCCGCGGCGCTGCCCCCCGCTCCCCGGAGCCGCGCGGCCCGGCCCGGCCCGGCCCGGCCCGGCCCATCGCAGCGGGGTCTGGCCCCTTTGCCATGCAGAGCGGGGAATTTCTGCTGGGAGCCGGGCTGCTGCAGTGTGCTGAGAGGACGACGTGGGGGTGGCGGGGAATAAGGAATGGCACTTGGCAGTGCTTCCCTCACAGAATCTGCTAAAAGAATATATCTGTGAGAATAAATGCTCAATGCTTACTGTCCCTGTAAAGCACCCCCACACACACTTTTTTTTTTTTTCTGTGCCTTGCTGTGTTGCTTGTTTAACTAACCCACTTCCTCTTCCTACCTTTAGAGCATACCACTGGATGATAAACCAGATCGAGTGTCTTGGACTGAAATGGGACAGGGTACCTACCAATGAAGGAAAGCAAAGAAGAGAGCTGGAAGCAGCTTGGTTTTCTCCAAGCCCGTTGTGGCTGCTGAGCAAAGAGCCCTGAGCTTTGCCTGAGACGCATAAAGAAAAACCAAAGACTTTCGTACAGGACTTCTAGCAAAGCGTCCACGTGTTTTGAGTGGCACAGCTTTGTGAACTATTATCTTCTATTTATGAGATGCAAGGAAGATTCAACACTGACTGGTGGTGTTAAACACAGTTTAAATTATTTGTAGTATCTATATTTGTATTTATTTTGTTGAATGTCTTTCAGCAGTTACTGGTCTTAATATTGCTTTTGCATTAATGTGTCCATTCCAAATAAATTACTTGAAATGTTCACTTTTTATTACTGTACTCTGGGCTGCAGTAACTTTTGTTAAGGCGTATCTGTGGATACGGCAGTGGTGAAGTGGCTTAAAAAGAGTGGGTAAGGCTTGGTTTTTTTGGTGCCCTGGACTGGGCAGTGGGAGGTGGAGAAAGCCCAGATAACCTGTTTGTGTTTGACCTCGTCTCCTGACCAGGGAGGGAAAATGTGTTGAGGTTCAGTTCTGGTCAGTGGTGGAGATAGAAAAGCCTACCGTAGCTTGCAGAAGTGCTCCTCTAGAAGCTCTTTCCCTTAGACTCGAGTAATGGCAGCTGCAGAAGGCACAGGAGCTCCCTGCTACGGGGAAATGCTGCTCTTTGCGAACGCCCTGTGTCCTCCCCCAGCCCCCATAGCTTAGTGCTGTGCTAAGGCACAAAAGTGGATTCTTGCTTTCGGAATAAGAGCGCCAACGCTCCATGGATTCCTCAGCTTTGTAGCAAAGCAAGCTGAACTCGCTCTCCTCTCTTCCTTCACCTCTGCAGTCTCTAGACAAGAGTTAAATTTCTCCAGGATAACTGAAGAATGGAGGCAGGCTCTTTTCCTATAGCACCTGGACCAAGAAGCTTGGAGGAAAAAAACAGCTGATTTTTTTGATAAAAGTGCTGAAGTTTTCTTTTGTGAGACTCAATTCTCACTAAATAACCTGGGCTTCCTCGAGAGCAATGCTGCAGCACACGACTCAACTCCAGCAGTCAGGACTGTGAGCGTAGCACGCAAAGTACTTGCTCCAAACTTGGTCATTTCCAGCAGGTAATTTCCCCCGTCCCAGTATCAGCACAGTTCTTGCAGGAGGCTTTGTACTAGAGGAAGTTGCAAAGTGTGTAATTACATAAGCCTGTAGTAAGAGCAAGAGAGACTCAGAATGGGGGGTGGAAAAACCTGGAAGGAGGGTTGGCCCAGTTTCTGGAAGTGGCGGAGAGGCTCTGGCACTGCAGCCTGGTACGTTGGCAGCTCGTGCACAGGCAGGGTTGCACATGACTGAGCTGTGGATGTAGCAAACCTCTGGCCACAGCATTTGAAATTCTTTGGCCTCAGTGCCCTCTCTAACCTGAGAATGCTGGAGATGCATTTAATGCAGCAAAATAACGCTCAAAAGCAGATGTATTTTACTCCCCATTTTTTCTTGTTACCGTTTCAGGGCACTGAAATAAAAACCCAAACCAGAGCAAAAGCACTGTCTCCTAATCCCTTCAGTTTCAGTGAATCCAAGCAGGAATGCTGCCTGACAGCAGCTGAGCGTTGGGGGCTGTTGCCTGCCATGACAGCCACTGCTGTGGGGGAGGATGGGAGGAACCCGATAGCTCCAGGGGTCCCCATGGCCCCCAGTTGCTCCAGCATGGCTCCATGACCTTTGCAAACTGATCTATCCCTTACTCAAGATGCAAATGTCAACAAAATGGAAGGATTGTTCAAATTGTTTTATTCTAGGTTAACGGAATCAAAAATAAAACTCAAGGATTTATTTATATGGAACAAATAAAGGGGTTACTTTCTTGCAACTGTACTACTGGCTTTTCATCTCTTCCAGTGGGATTTTACTCTTCAAGAGGTAAACAAACAAACCTAAATTGACCATTAGCTGTAAATAGCCAAAGGAGGAGACTCCAAATTGTTTATATAAAACTCCACCAATGGTTGGACCCACTGTCCGGGTCAAGGGCTGCACTGAGGCGCAAATCCCGAGCATGGCACCTAGGAGAGATGTCAGAGACACAGGGTGAGAGCAAGTCCTGGCATGGAAAAGCAGAGAAGAGCACACAAGATCCCCTTTATCCCTTTATGATGCTGCTCCCCTGCAGTAGCAGCAAATCACTTCAGATAATTTCTTGCGTTAATTTGTAGTGGTCCAGTTAGGGACTCCTGCAGGCAAGGGGAACAGTTTCCACCATGAGCCAGCTCAGCTCTTCCCTGAGTGGTCTGGGCAATTGCAGCACTGCCCAAAAGGCAAAGTGCTCACCAGGGTCCAGGGATGCCTTTGGCACCCAGAAGGTGCTGCTGAATATCTCACCTGGCAGGGCTGGTAACTACTGCATGAGATTAGGGATGGAGAGGTAATTTCTAGGGTTATATTTGCACCTTCCTAGCAAATCACGGAGATTCTTCCAATCTCCTAATTACCTGAGTGGGCTCTGCTCCACCCAAGCTACTACTGCCACTTATTCTCCAGTCTGAAGCAGAGAAATAGGTCTCAAGCAGGAATGAGAGGGTTAGGCCTGAGTCTTTAAGAATAAATAAATAAAAATCACAGATTAAGACAGAACGCCCCTGGGATATTCCCCCACCCCCTTTGCAAAAAGAGCGGATATTTCAATTTGGATGGGTATGCGAGCCCTTCACCCAGCTGGGCCGGTTCCCCCTCCAGCAGCCCTCACATTTGCATCCTTAACAGGAACCCAGCGGATGGGGAAGCACCTCCAGTTTGGCAAAGGCGAGGTTTTTTTTCCACGTGCAGACAGATGGCCAGGACATCCCCTGGGACACAAGGCTGTCCCACACCACCCAGTAAGCTCTTTTGTCCTGCAGTCTTTGTTCAGGACAGCTGTCATGTTCAGAGGAGCAGAAAATACCTGGCCAGCCAGCAAATATTAGCCCCCAGCATTGGGAGGAACAGCAAGCTGGCACCGTATTCAATAAACTTGTGCCCAGCTCTGAAATAATGTTTGTAATTATTTTTTCACTATTAGTATTTGGGCTGCTGGCATCAGTTTTCCACAAAGACACACACTGAGGTGGTGTCACCACACACCCGGGAAGGATGAGGAGAATGCTGTCCTGTATGCAAGAAGAAGTGGAGGAAGAGTGTGATATTTAACGTGGGCAGCCAGAGGGAAATGATGCCCAGGTCCCAGAGAGAACAGGCAGCCAGGTGTTCCTGTAATGCCGGGCAGCGACTGCTGGGCTTTTATCAGCGTGCTTAAAATACTTGTGCAATGAGCCCAGGCCAAGGGCGTAACCATGTGGAGAGGGAAATCTCCCGGGAAGCGCTGCCGAGTGCTCCTCCCACACATGGGAACACAAAGGTGATGGGTGGGACCTCGCCTTGACCCTTTGCCAATGGGAACCATCCCACAACCACCAAACTCTCTGGGCAGGTTTTGCAATTATTTTTTCCCCTCTAGGTATTTGAATTAAACTAATTACTACGTGCAATTGCCAAACTGGCTCTTATGATTGAGGAGGCACTTTTTTCCCTTTCCTTTTTTTTTTTTTTTTTTAATGGAGCAGAAATCCATCGTCTTATAAAAGGCTGGGCTCTCCCTCTGCACTTCTCCAGCATGTTGCTGAGAAAGATAATTTCTGTTTAATGGGCTTAAATTAGATCCCTCGTGTCAGACACCCTCAGGCTTTGGGACATTGTAAATCTCAGCTCTGCAGCGTGGCCGTAGCTCTGTGGCAAAGCTGCACATGTGATAGATCTCGTTTAAGCCAAGTCCTTAAACTGGGACAAGTCACCTCACCAGCAGAAAATTTCCTGCATTGCTTTGCCAACGCACATGCTCACCTTCTTCGTCACAGCTATCCCACCTTCTGCACCTTCCCTGCTCTTTTTTTTCCCTCTCGAGCTTTTTTCCGTTCCTTTTTCCCATATCTGGCGTGACCTGTGCCGGCTGGGAGCCCATCCTCCCCCCCATCCCAGATCTCCTCCGCTCCCACAGGTTTCAGGGCTGGGTGCTGGCGGCTCTCCAAGGCGGGCGACTCCTTTCCAGCTCACATCCTGTTGCCTCGCAGATGATGGTGCTGGCCCAGATCAGCCACACGCCCATGGGGCAATTGGGTTTAACCACTAGGTCACTGTCGCCAGCGGCCGCCTTTGAACCCACAAAGCTCAAGCAGAGCTGGGGGGTTCCATGCCCCGAGCCCTGCCTGGCTGCAAACTCTCCTCCTCGGGTTCTGATGCACAAATAACATCAGGACACATGGGCCCGTTACGCACGGAGGCTCTGCTGGGCTTCCTGCCTCCCTCCCTCCCTCAGGAATGGGGGGGATCCGTGCAGGAACAAGAGGTCCATTCTTGGGCAAGGACCGGGGTTGACAAGGAGTGCTTGTGTGAATGCAAGTCCCCCTGGGCTCGGGGCTGCCTTCCCACCAGCTCACGGGTCCAGCTGAGCAGCATGTGCGTGTGGGGCTGAATTTTCTCTTCCTGCCTTTGAAGATGAAGAGAAGGGAAAAAAAAAAAGATCAAAGGGAAACTAATGAAATAATTTTTGCTACCTTTGCTTCTGCGCAAAGCCTGAGCTTTGAGAGCAAGCAAAGAGCAAGCGCCAAACTCATCAGCCTTGGAAGGAAGTGACCTTGGATCGGATCTAAAGCAGGCTGATGGGTGCAAGGGATGGTGCTGTGCCGCCTCCCACTGCTCCCTTTCTGAGACGCCTATTTAAGATGCAAGGATGGGTGACTCAGGGTGTAGCAAGGGTGGACAGGCTACACTCCTACAATGCTCCGTGCTGAGATGGATACCTGAGCTCAGCCCAGACTCCAGCTCCTTCAGAACGCCTTTTCCTAACCCAAAGAAAAACCTCCGTGGGTTCTACAGGCTGGAAGCTGACCAAAAAATCAGGAACAGACAGCACCAAGGCTCAAAAGTAAGGCTTCCAAAGGCAAATTCTCAATGTGGGATTTCCTTGCATTAGCTAAAAGTTGTTGCAAGTGAATGCTGAGGTTTTCAATACAGTGACAGCAAAGCTTTTTCGTAAAACCAGGTTTCCATGCTCTTAGTAAGGGATTGTAACATGCCACCAAAGCCCTCTCTTTGCAGAGGAAGGAGCAGCCTTTAGGCTGCTGTATGGGTGGAGCAGCCTTTGCGGCGTGCCTCCCACAGCCAGGGACGGGTGGCAGGCATTCTAGTGGCTGCATTTCTCTGCGAGACACCCACACCACCACTGCGGCAGCTGCCGTGGAAAGGCAGCCTGCCGGCTCTGCTGTGTCAGGCATTCCTGCCTTCGCCCCGGCCCCTGCCCGGTACATCCCAAACAAGCACAAGGCCATCGGTACCGCTTCCCCCAAAAATGTTGCAAGGAAAAAGCACAGTTTGAAAGGTGAGGGCCAGGAAGGAGTGGTGGAGACAAGGTTTTCCCCCAGAGCCACAATGCTCCGTCCTCTGTGGTATGCCCAGGTTTGAGCCAGCTGTAACTCTGCATTTGTAGTAGCACTTGGCATGACATCAGCCCAGGAGGGACAGGCAGGAGAAAGCCCTCAGTAGCCCATGGCATGCTCTGATGACCTGCAACCTGCTCCTGAGCATCTGCACAACTCTGCAGACTGCCTCCATCCTGCCCTGCAGTCCTGCCCCGACATGGGGAGACCATCCATCCTGCCTAGGCACAGGCTGGCCTAACAACATATGCAAGCAGGGAGCAGGGTGAGGCAACTAAACCCATTTTCCTCTCTGACCAAAGCTTGCCTCCAGGCTCCAAAAGCTAAGCACTGCTCTGGTTTTCCTCACAAAACCCCTTTGAGAAGAGCCTGGATGAATTCCAGCTGGTTATATGTCCTAAAGCTGCTTGGTGCCCTTCCCCCCTGGCTCTCCCTCACATGAACATTGCTCCAAGTCATGAAGCAGCAAATTTTCTTCCTGGCTGAGCAGAGGGGCTGAGACTCTTCCCAGGGAGGTGAAGACTGGGCATAAATGGTCCTTACAGGTAGAAATATCCCACTTGAAAATCACAGGCTCCGAGCATTTGTAGGATATGTAGTGGGTCAGCTCTACAAATAAACTACTGAAGTGATTTTCAGAAAAGCTCTTCACCCAGAAGCATCTCAAAAGTGCTTTATAAACTTCACTAATGGGCTGTGCAAACTACAGCTCCCATTCTTGGTAGGGTCTGTTCAGACAGCTCCTAGGGAAGATGAAGGGTGCAGACTGGCATCCCAGAAAGCCACAGCTAAAGCAGAGACGCTCTTGGGGACCTGCTCTGGGAGCAAACCCTGAAAGGGCTTGAGCAAAAGGCATCAAACCGAGTTAAGCCAGCTCCATCCCTGCACAAACTCAGCCAGGCTCTCATGACAATAATGTAGGCATATTTCCTTCATCAACAGAACTAAAGCCCCAGGTATAAAGATGTAAGTGTCTACCACTGCTATCTTATGCAGAGAAATACAGGAATGCTGACTGAAACAAGGCCAAAACAGAGAGAGGAGGTAATTATTGCATCAGATAAAGCATGTTTGCAAAGAGTAATCCAGAATCCCCTCCTGAGATACCCTAAGTTAAAAGGTGTGAACAAGCAGCCCTCTCTGACTGAAGAGCAGTGGGTTTTGGGTTGTTTTTTTTAACGTACCTTGGCTTTCCATGGGAAAGAGTTTGAGAAAGCCTTCCCTTTCTGTGCCTACCACTATGGATGTCAGCAGGCAGCACAGGACTGGGAGCACTGGGTCGTGGGATGCTTGTTCAAGTCCATCCTGTATTAGCCCCATCAGTCCTGTTCATCTGCTCTGCTGTCGCCCATCGTGTGCCCAGCCAGATCTGGGTGTTCACCCAGTGCTCCATAGCTCTGGTGGGAGCTGGGAAGCGCCCAGTGGACTCAAAACTGAGAAAATACCAGTCTGGCCTTTTCTGATGAGTCTTACCAGTGTCAGAGGAGGGCACAGCTTTGGTGAGGATGCTGTCGGTGATGGTGGCTAGCATGCTGAAGGCAAACACCAGCGGCACTGCAATGATGCAGTAGTGCCACACAGTCCTCATCAGGGCCTAAGGGACAGGACAGAACAGACCACAGATCATTAAAGAGCACAAACGGTGACTGTGGCGAGAAACAACCTGGAAGAAAATCACGAGTCAAACCCATGGCTTAGGGAAATGGAGGGAGCCACAAATGATACGTGGTGGTGTGGCTTTGGCAGTTGTGGGGTCTTTCACAGCCTGCCATTTGTCTGCACTGAATTATTCCAAGCATGCAGAGCAAAAGATACCCTACAATCTGGCAGCACGTTTCCCCAGCACTGCTGTGGGTATTTTTAGCATCTGGGAATTAGTGACGTCCCTGCACCCTTCCCCCTGTCTTCTGTCCAACTCCTGAGGAAATGTTGAACAGCAGATGTATGCGGTGTACTTCAGGAAGCTTCCATTACTTATACAAAACAGCCTAGAGAAGGCTTTTTGGTTCATTATCATAAATAATTAAAACTAAACCGAGCCTGTCAAAATAAATGAGCACGGTGCATTATGTAACATCGTACCTTTGGGATTTCTAATCCTGTTCTGCTGCTTCCCTGCTAATAAATTCACCAAATTCAATAATCTGGAATAGGTCTTCTGGCCATGAGTGCACATTAGTGAACATAATTAGGGAGAGTAATGATTTTGTTATTGCACATATTCTTAGCAGAGACATCCCTCCAGCTGTTTAATGCTGAAACAAAAGTGATGAGGCTCCCTAAGCTGTAGGGCTGGAGCGGCTCCCAGCTCATTCACAAGCCCTGCTGGTCAAATGAATGGATTTCTCTGGGGCATGGAAAGGAAATTCCCCCTTTACTGCAAGTCTCCTGCCCTAACCCATGTCTCAAGGTGTGTTATTGTGGCTGGAAAATATTTCTGTCACTGGTTTAGCTAGAAGTTTCATTCTCTGGAGTTCTCTGTCCTAAGATCTGGTCCCTGCCTCTCGGCTACAGAAGATGGAGGAGCTCAGAGACATTGCTCACTAATGACTTGGAATGTTGAGGTTTATTCCTAGTTCCCCTCTAGAGTCACACACAGCCAGGTTTTTCTCCTCCAAGGGGCTCTTTGCCTGAATTTTGGTTAAGATCTAGGCATTTCTGATTAAGGAACCTGAGAACAAAGACAGAAGAACAGGTATTTGGTACATAAACAAAAGGAAGGAGAGTAATTCCTTGCTAGGGCAAATGTCATTGCAGGACAACATTGCGAAGCTCATAGAAAAAAATCAGTTTTAATCCCTCCTGCTTTGTACATACTCCCTCATGGGCTGGAGCAAGTGAGCAGAAAAGAGCAGAGGCCTATCTGTGTCTCCTGTAAAACAACGGGAAATGCCTCCTCACTTCCCTGGGGCTGAGGGAGAACTGAGCCAGGCAGAGCCCAGTCCTTGCTACTCCTCAGCTGCTGCGTGCTGAGTAGTTTTTTTGAGGGGAGCAGATCTAAAAGCATTTTTTAAGAGAGAGGCAGAATCAGGAGTCTCAGCAGACAGCTCAAAAAACAAATGCCTGGGAAATGCAGGCAGTGAGGCAGCAAGGCAGGATGAAGCACAGCCGTGCCTTCAGACAAAGGGAAAATCTTCCCCATCGCAACTGCCAAGCCCTCCTACAGCCCGGCCCACGCTCTCCCAGCTCACATCTGCAGATCAGACACTGGTTCTTCCCTCCTCTCCTTATCCAGGTGTTATTGCCGAGCTCCCAGAGCACCCCTTCCCTTCTCCAGCTGCCTGTTGCTGGGAACATCCTGCAGCCTCTTCCCAGCTGCAGCGCTGTCTGCTGCTGTTTGTGCCAGCCTTCCAAAAACGCTTCAGCACACCTCCCCTCCCTGTGATATCAGGAGGGGTTCTGGAGCATCTTTGATTAACAGCTAGCCTTTCTTCTCACTTCCATCCTTCAGAGAGGGGAACTGCTGCATTTGGAGGCCACATGCTGCAAGGGCACAGCAGGTGGGACACTCCTCACAGCACAGCAGCTGTGAAGGATTAAAAGCTTCACCCAACAACTTCTGCATTTGGGGCTGCTGCTGTGACAGTGCTCGTCCCCACTGAGACAGAAAGCCACCCCAGAAGCGGATGTTTTCTTGGCTGCCACTAGGACAGAGCGCTTTTTAACAAGGTGTCCTGGGCAAAGAGGACTGCAGCTGCATTTGCCTAGGAATAATTCTCATGGGAAGTCACTGCTGACCCTTGTCCCCAGGCCCGTGCTCTCAGGATGTCCACAGCCCTCCAGACTTGGCATAATTACCAACTCGAAGATGATTTCCCTTCCTGCCTCCTGGTTCTCCTCCCTGTGCAGTCAGTGTGAGCCTTCCTGCACTGCGACATGTGTGCTGCCCCTCCACTGCCATCAAGGCTTTCTCTCCTACCTCAAACTGACTCCAGCCTTCTCTGGAGGTCAGTGAGACCTCAGTGCACAAAAGCCATGAAATTCATATTGCTGCTCTGCCTGATTCCCATGGGACCAGGCTTCAGCACAGGGATTCAGTCCCAGCAGCACCTGACCTACACCTGGATGGGGGTGCTCATCTCTCCAGATGGGCCAGGTCCCCCTTGGTCCCACCTAATTGCTCCCACCCATGACCCAGAAACAGAAGGGAGGCCTTCAAAGCCCTTCCCAGGCCATGCTGAGGAGCATCAAGCTCTACGCAGATGTCCTGTGTTAAGGAGGCATATTGATTTCAGTTAAAAGAGTGTGACACCAATTGGAAGAGACCCTTCCCAAGCATTCTACTCCTGACAGAATCCCTGGGAGCCTCAAAAACCCCAGGGAGAGGGACCACACTCCATCTGCAGAGCCAACCCTTGCTCTGCACCCATCCTCCCTTCGCAGCCTCATCTCAGACACGATTTAGCTCAGATTAGCTAAGGTGTGTAGGTGCCTCATCTCATCCTTGTAGCTGGGAACCACAAACCTCAACACCCTCTAGGACTTGGCCCTGACCTCCCCACGGCTGTGGTATGGTTGTGGGAAAGGCACTCATCCTGCCTGCAGCAGTGGGAGCACCAGTGTCCTGGCAGCAAGGCTCAAGGCCAAATCCTGCAGGGCATGCTGAAAGGCTGGTGCAGCTCAATTGTCCTTTGGTCCCACTGCACTGACTGGGACTGCAAGCACCTCTCCTCCATCCCCATGGCCCCATGGCAGAGCTATCAGTGCCCTGAACGTGGCTTATCTGAGCAAACACAGTTCCCAGTAGAGCTACCTACATCCACTCAGTTTTCCAATTACTATTCAAGATTAGCATCAACCCTCACCCATGCGGACACAACCAGCAACAGCTAACATCACTCATCCCAAAATGGAGGAACAAAATTACTGCCTTGCTACCTCCTTCCCCAAATCTTGGGGGATTAGACAAAAATAAAGCCCCAGAAGGAGAGTGCACAACTTATGCTGTCTCACTGCAACATACATTTTCTCCACTGTAATATTCATTTACTTTCTGGGTAGTCCAGGAAATGCAGTTGCTGACAAGACCAGGCCAGGATTTCTGTGCAAATCCGGTGACTCAGGAGGAACTTAGCGAGTTTCTGTGCAAGATTAATATATTTTTTAATCCCCATAACTATTACTCACAGGGCTCTTTATCATGGTTTGGCGCAATGCTGACGTTGAGCGTGGCTCTGTTTGCGCAGAGGCCCAGCAGAGCTGGTTTTCCCCACCCTGAAGACCACCCAAGAGAGCCAGAGGTGGCATTTCCAGGGACAGAGCTCACAGCCAGGTCTCACAGAGCTTGTGTCACTGCTTGTGACATTGTTGAAGGCATTGTGCGTGATTTCCCACCTGCCTTACCATGCCTAGGCCCACGCCGGCAAAGACGAAGACGCTGAGTCTGAGCAGGGTCATCTCTGTGCAGTGACTAGCGAGTTTCCCAACCACCAAACCCTGGACAACCTGGCAAAGAAACACATAAACACCATTAAGCCCAATATAATATAATAATTTAAGCAAACCCAAAAGAGAATTGCTTCTTTCTTCAAGCAAACAGGTTCTTCCATCAGGGTTTCTTTAACAAAAAAGGACCTCACTGCCACAGTAAATGACTGGAAGGTGTGATCCATTATTTCAAGTGCTTTGCCTTCTAGGGAGAGATCCATCCCATCAGCTGGAAGTTTTACTCAGGGTGCATGCCTGAGCTTACCATCACTGCCTACTCAGCAGCAGTGACTGAAACTTTCTAGAAATGCTTGCAGATACAACTTGTGATGTGTTTGTGAAATACAGTTAGTACTACGGTCTTCATTCTTGTCAAGTCCTCCCCAAAGAAAAACTGTACTTTTGTAAGCTGAGGAGGAAAATGTCTGTACCTTCTCTTGCCATTATTTTAAACTGTAAATATACAAATTGTGTGGTTCCTAATTTTTAGGCAGGAAACAAGTATGACGGAGATGCTAATATCCAGTCCCAGCAGGACATGCAGGTGTGAGGGATGAGGAACTGGTTCTACAAATTCTAAACAAAAACTGGGGAGGAGGGAAGGAAGAGCAAAATATTAAAATCCCAGAAATTATTTGACTTTTCCAGCACTTGGCAGAGCAAGGATTCCTCCTTTTATTTATCTGTTTGGCATCTCCCATACTTCAGATGATCCTGGCCCAAGTGGACACGAGAGCAGAGAGGCTGGAAGAGATCATGGTAAAAAAGTCTGACTGACTGCAATACAGGTTAGAGACAGACAGGAAACTGCTGAGGTTTCCCTGCCTTGAAAGTGTTTGTTTGATCCAAATGAAAACCCCTCTGACTTGAAAGAAGAGCTCTAGTTCAAAATTCTTTGTTTAGTGTCTTTGTTTCTGTGGCAGTCCATCCTGGAGAAAACTTCAGTGGTCTGCTTGGACCAGGAATGACACCACACTACAGTCAACCTTGTTGTGTTAGTCCTGAGGCAGAAACCCAAAGTCATCTGAAAGGAAATAAGTGCAAAATAAATGAGAAAGTAAGTTATTAAGCAGAAAGGAAATGTTAATCTATAATAACCAGTCAAAAAAACAAACAAAAAAAAGCAGATAGCGATAGAGTGAAAATGAAGCTGACATAAAGAACAATAGCTACAAAATTATTGGATTTCCAACTGCATACAACTGAATGGAAAACCATCAAAATTCAACCCTTCACTTTTCACTTCAAAATTCACCGCTTCAGAGGATTTTTGACACGAGGGCACATCACACCAAGAAGACATTCTGGCTCCTGCCTCCTTTTTGTCATTGTCCCTGCCTTTGGCCAGGGCTTGAGAGCTTGGCTCACGTGTGCCCAGCTGCTGTGTGACACTGGTCCTGCGTGTCCTTCCCAGGTCACGGCACCTGTCAAGCGGCCTCCAGGACCCTGGTGGACCTGCTGTGGCACGAGGCTTGGACAATGCCGAGGGTGACCTGAGTCATCCTGACCGAAAGCCCTGCCATGAGAGGAGGCTGATACCAGCCCCAGCAGCTCCTACTCCGGGGGTGGGTGGGGAAGCCACTGCGTGACGCTCCATTAAGCTGAGTGCTCCAAAAAGGGAGAATCGTCATTAACTTTTTGCAACTTCCCAGTCCCTCCTACAGCTGGGGCTATGCTGAGTCACATGGGAAGGGGGCTGAGCCTTGTCACAGGGCATGGATTGACTCAAGGGTGGCATCATCCGAACCCCAGTTAGGCTCTGCTGAGCCATTGGAGGAAAGGAAATATTTCCCAATTTGCCCAGACTTGAATGGCACATTTTATTGGGATACACCGTGCAGGCACAGCCCAGTCCCTGCCCTTCCTTGAGTCATTAGGGTATATCATCAGCAACGTCCCTGGTCTGATGGCCATGGGAGTGGCCTTCCCAAAAACGTTGCCATCACTGCACACGAGCCCCTGCGTGAAGGCAAGTGCAGCAGAGATGGGCTCTGAGCAGGCAGGACCTGGAGATGTGCAGAACAAGCTGTCCTCAGAGTCAGCAGGGCAGAGGGATGGTCCTCGAGTCAATGCTGGCATTCCCCATGGGCTTTCCCACCACTTGGGCTGTGGCAAAAAAAGTGCAAGGTAAAACATCACTGCTGAATCAGCTTGGCAAGTGGACTATTTCCAAGGGCAAGAATGAGCCCAAGTCACCTGCTTTCCCCTTGGGGCTGGGCAGCAATCCTTAGGTTGTACAGATGGAAGTCCCCCCATGGGCTACCTGGGCTGCCTGCCCAGCACAGGCACTGCTGATCCAGCCATTAGTCCCAGGTAGACAGGGCCCATCATCCTGCTTTTGGGCACAGAGCCTTGATTTAGGCACTAGATAATACTTCCAGTCACCAGTAACTCTGACCTCACTTTCCAGTTTGAATTTCGGCCTGAAAACCCATTGCTTCCAGTCTGCAATTTTCCCTGAGTGCAGAGCCACTGGGGCTGGCATGAGCAGCACATCTGGGAAGGTGAAAGGTGGTTCGTGTGCACTCTTCCATATAAGATTTTGGACACGTGCTGCTGGTTTACCAGGAGGTAGGGGGGTCATCCCAGGTGACTTGGCCCTCATCACTCCTGTGGACAAGCTCTGGTAGCTGATAAATGGAATTTATCCTTATTTTTATTCGTACTGGTGTGCTCTGGGATTTTTCCTTGCACATAAACTCCCCTTGAGACTGACTGTGATGGGCCTTACCCTCCTGCATTTCATTTTGCCTGGATGGCGCTTGCCTTTGTAACCTGACCTCCTTTGAAGTCGGGGAAGAGCCAGTGTACCTGGCTGGAATGCCTTCTGCCATCAATAAACAAAAGAGAGAGGAAATTGTTTGCAAGTGAAATAACAGGCACTGCCTGTGGCTGTGTACATATGTCGCAGGAAAAGCCAACTCATCTTTTTTTCCTCCCCCTTCTCCTTCTTTAAAGGCAAATAAGTCTCCCAATAAATGCATAAGAACAACCAAATCTCTGTTCATCATTTTCTGGATTCACCAAGCTGGGGATTTGTTAGCCCAGCAAATCACATGGAAAAATACTCTCTTGCCTTTATCACTGCATTTGGTCTCTGGGAAAACAGCTGCTCCCATTTGCTCAGAAAGGCCAATTACCCATTTGACTGTTAACCTCTAACAAATTTCAGGAACCCCTTGCAGGATGGAAAGGGTTGTTTGTATTTGAAAGTCCAAGGTGCCAGTTTTTGGAAGACTTCTGAAGTGCCTTGCTGCAGGGAGCTGCTGCTGAGCTGACTGGCACCTGCAAGAAGCTGACCTCCCCTGTGGAGGTATGAGGAGTTATGGAGATGCTCAGCTGGTCCTCTGCGCTCAGAGGACACGGGACTGTTGGCAAAGATTCTTCCATCAGCACTGACTGAAAGCTTGACAGAGCCCAGCAACAAAATACGTTCCCTTTCACCCGACAGCTTGGAAATTAAAAGCTGTGAGAAGCTCAGGAAGGCAGACACAGCAGGCCAGATAAGCTGGTACAGCCTCGCAGAGAAGGTGCAGGGCCCCATCCCTAGCACAGATAGCATGATTCACATCAGAAGCAGCCTCCCACGCCCTGGACCCGTATCTCGCCTTTGAAATTGTGCCGGCTGGCAGTTCCCAGGCGAGCGCCGGCTGGGGAGGGACCTGCTGGGGCAGACCACGGGGGTCAGCACAAACCACGGGGCTTTTCTGCACAGGCTGAACGTGTTGCAAAGCCCATGCTGGGGGAAAGGGAGCTGCTTTACCGACACAGCAGTGCCTGGAATCACTGGAGTAGTTCAGGTCGTGTGGAGGAGCAGGAGGGCGGTGGGACTGGAAGGAGGGCTGATGGTGAGGACCAAACTGCTGAAGGCAGCACTTTGCCAAACAGGGGGAAGAGGATGGTGTGTTTTGCCAACTCCAGCCTAATCGCTTTCTTTCCCCCTCCAACCCACCCCCCTCCACAGATATAAATCCTTCAAAGCAAGGAAACTGGAGAACTTTCTGTTTGTTGTTGCAAGGCCCTTTCACAAAGTGGGTTTTCCCCCTAGGCATACCTGGCTGTAATTAAATCCCCGGCTCTTTAATCATCTCTTTTGCTGTGCAGGGGAAAAAAGAAAAGCGAGAGGGACAGACTGGTGATAAGATGATACGCAATGTAAATCTCTCCTCCAGGAATCTCTCTCATCTTTTCAGGATCACTCCGTACTGACTTGTCCCTCCAGAAGCTGCACAGCTAGAGGTGGAGTTTGTATAACAATACAAATTTAAATGCAGTAAATAGAACTGATGTCTTATGATTTCTTGATCCTCAGGGTTATAAATATCTACCCCTTTGTCCCACCCAGAGTTTTGTTTGGTGCATTTTGCTCTGGGTTTTTTTGGGTTTTTTTTGAGAAAAGTCCTTAAAGGAAAGTTTCCCCCACCCCCTGCTGTGGTTTGAAATCTAAGCATCAGATGTGACTTGAGATAGGAACCAGGGTCTCCAGGTATTTCACTTGCCTAATCCTCCAACAGCATCTTCCAAGCCACATACTACACCTGGAAGGTCTCCATGCTATCACATTTGCAAACTTAAAAAAAAAAAAGAAAAAAAAAGAAAAAAATAAAAAAGAGTCTAGGCTCATTTCTGCCCATTACTCAAAATTAAATGATTTTAAACCATTATGAAATTAATTATTCTCTGGAGGGAGACTGAATGGCATTTCACACTACCAGGCATTCACCATGAGGGAAATATCCTGCACATGGCTTCTCAGACGAGAGGGCTCTGGAAGCTCAGCCCTGGAGGACAGAGGGATTGCGTCCCTGATGGGCTCTCGTAACTCTTGCCTGGAGACCTACCAGTGATCAGATAAAGATGCTTCAAGCACATCATGAGCAAAGGAATCTCGGCAGTGCAGGCTGCCTGGTGCAGAGCCCTCCTGCTGTCTGCCTTCCTCTCCTCATTTTGTTATCTCCCACACGACTTCTCTTCACCTGGCACAGTCCCAGCTCATCAGGCAGCCCCACATTTTCAGTGTGCTTCAAAAATAACTGCGGAGACCTGGATTGCTTGAATTACCCCCATGTGCTATTTTCATCTCCCCATCAGTCCCTTCCAGCCATATTCCATTTTCTAAGCCACAACTCTGTTTCCTCATCAGACAGTTCTTGGTCTCAATACTATCTCACTGCCTTCCCACACCCCCTTTTCTGACCTTGCCTGGCTGTGTCCTGACCCAGACACGGGCCCCCTTCCCACCCTCACTGCACTTCAACCTGCCCCACACTTTCCCGTATCCCCTGCTGTTAGATGATGCTCACCACAGGATGAGGCGAGGCTGAGGAGCTCTCGATGGGATCCCTCAGGTGATGCCTGAATTAGTGGTGTGTCTAAACTAGCCTCCTCCATCTGCAAAGAGGGAAAACACCTCACCTCCTGCAGGGACTGTGTTTCTGTGCTGATTCCCCATGCAAGGGAATCATGTTTGAGAGAGCAATGACAAAGAACTTGAGTTGCCTACTTAAAGTTAGGTGGACTGGCTCAAAGCCTCTCGCAATCTCCTCTCTAGGTACTCTGCAGCTGGCTTGAATGAGAGGAATGAGGAGAAACAGATTCTTACAGTGCATTGGCCACTTCTCACCACAGCAGGTCAAATAAGGTTGGGAAGCTGAAAAACTAGATTAAGCAATTGGAGCATAATATCCTTGGGGTGGGAGAGGAAGGCAGGAAGACACCATCACTATTTGAGTCATCCTGGGTTGCTGATCAGGCTGGGAAAGCGAGCTGCAACATTGCCTTCTTTAAGAGGAATATGTGAGTTTCGAGAATATTTAATTTAAAAAATAGAAACTACAATAACACAAAGAAATAATTTCCCCCTTAATTTCTTTGATGTCCCCTTCCGGCTGTAAAAGTCCTTAAACACTATATCTTTTTCAAGTCCAGGAAGAGATGCAAACATGGGGGACAGGTTTCCTCTAACAGGAAGGCTCAGGGCAAGTCAAAGAGGATGGAAAAATCCTCACAATGATTTACAGAAGGGCAAACTAAGGAATAAAAAAAATCAAAGCTGAGTATCTGGTTGATGAAATTCACTGGAAATTACATTATATTCCTTATGAACAGAGAACATTATTATATATTCCTTATGAACATTTACTCAGTGAAGTGGCGAAGCCAGTCAGCAGATATTAATCATCATTCACCTATCCAGATTGGTGTAATTCACTTGCACCTTAATCTGCATTTGTATCTCAGCAGTATCAATTCACTGTAGAGCAGAAACAAATGCACCTGAAATCCCAGGTTAGGCAACACAAGCAGCTCTGGGGCTCAGCAGGACAGAGCCAGCACACTCCTATTCCCTGTCTGCTAGAGCAACCCAAACAGAAAGCAGCCATAAAACATTAACCCAGACATCATCTGCAAGAGATATCTTTGGGTAGTTCTAGACAAATACCTGAAAGGAATTCTAATGTTTTAAAATAATTTAAAAGACAGAGAGTGAGAGTTTAATTTGGTCCAGTTGAGGATCTTGTCCTGCATAAACCAGAGTAGAGTTTGGAACTGCCACTGATAAAGTAGGAAGAGGAAGTGACAAAGTAAAAAGCAGTGCTTTGCAAGCTTTCAGGCGAGATGGCTTTGCTCTCACCAAGAATCAGGTGTCCTGGGATTTTTAAAAACATAGAGTGTTTTCTCCTCTTTCCATTTTGGTGTTCTGACAGCAAACCTCAATGCACCAACATGAAGAAAAGTTTCTACCCTATGACCACTTCACTCCTGTATTGCTGATGTCCAGAGCCATGCACTGTAGAATAGGCATAGCAATATGGATAGAAACTGCATGGATGTATAAAACTGCCTGGCTGATAAAAGCCAGTTTCTGTGTCAAGTGTCCCAAGGCAAAGACTCCCCAGCAAAGCAGATGCTGCACCTGAGCCTACAGGGTTGGACTGTGGCCTCTGTGGGATGGAACTCGTCTGACTCTGGGAAGGGTCAGGCCCCTGGTTAGCACTGGCATCTGATCATCCATGAGGAAGCAGAGTGGGTGCTGTAATTCCTGTATCTTCCAGGGCTGTGTCTCCATGTGGGGTGTCCCAGCACTGCAGAGGAGGTAACCTTATCTACAGCAGTTTCAACCAAACTAACCTGGGGAACAATGGCAGTGGAGGCAGGTAGATATTCCAGACATAACAGCAGTGTCCTCAAGACAGATATCCTGGACCTAAGCAGCGTCCAGGCTCCATCTAGCAACACAAAGCTACTCCTTACAAGAGCTATTGCTGCCCACATAACCCAACTCTAAACGAGCACGCCACACAGCCGTGCTGCAACTCCAGATTTTATTTCTGCCTATGTAACAGGGCTTTAACTGGTATATCTTCAGTTAAAAGCCCAGCCCTGGGGAGTCCTTCAGCATTCCAATGGGGAGGAAGATATGGGACAGTGACTTGGCCCCTCTAAAACCTGAGTGATTCCTGCAGATCCTGGTCTAGGAGGCAGCATGCAAGGCGTAGGGAAAGCCTGTGAAGGCAGTGGAGTTTGGGTCAGAAGCTTTCTGTGGAAAGCAGCTGCTGATCACCTCACTTTTAACACTGTTTCTGTACTGTGGACTGACAAACCAGTCTTCTTTCCAAAGAGGCTGAATGGGACTGTATATAGCTGGCTGGAGATGCTCACAGGTCCAAGAGACGACTAGTCCAAAGCCACCCTCACAGGAGGGATGTGGCAAAGGCACCATCTCCTCAGCTCCAGCCGGTTTACTCTGCAGAATCCAGCTGCTGATGTACAGCCATGCCTATCAGCTGCTCTACCAAGATGCTCAGATTTGGTGAGACCAGGCCAGAGCCCAAGGGACTGGCAGCACCATGCCAAATCATAGCACAAAGGAAACAACTTAAAGTTGCCATTCCCCAAATGAGAAGTTGCTCCGGATCCCACAGGATCCCTGTGGCAATGCCCAGGAAACTAAGAGGATTTAATAACAAGACCACTCTCCTTCAGGATATTGCTTAACTTGCATTCGTACCTTGGGGCTTGCTTATAACCACCTGCTGCTCTTTCTGCAAAATCATTAAGACTCTTCCTCCAAAAGGAACACTCTGCTGTAACACAGCACTGCACATTTTTCACCCTGTTACAGCGTAATTCAGCAGACTTTTCCCTTTTACCCATTTTGGTAGTCTCTTAACCCTGTTTCTTCACCCACCTTTCTGTGCTTTGTTTTGTTTTTTGGTTTTTTTTTTTCTTTTTGGGAATCACAAGCTTGCTGTGCTTGTTTCCATGCAGCAGAAACAAGTTCTCCTACACTGAAGGGATCTTCAGTAAAAACACCAGTAAGATTGTCTGCTTTCCTGAGTGTACAGGGTGCTACTATATAAATGTAAATCAACAAACCTGCACCAGGAAAAACGTCAGCCAAAGCACTTTAGCTTCAATGTAAGTTTTGTTACAAAACCCAGGACACATCAGTCCAAGGAAACTTTAGCTCTGCAGCTTAAAAATCCACAAAGAGGGAAAAGGGAAAGAAAGTTTCCAGGACATTCCTCTCTCCAATTCCTTCCCATTCCAAGGAGCAGAATAAATTTGGAGTCACTTCTCTTTTTGAAGCTAAATGCTGTATGGCAGAGCTAGGATTTGCCTGTCAGAAATGCACCTGGATTTGGAAGAGCATGTGTCCAGAGGTAGTGAATTAGGTAGCAGTGTGGCAAGCTAATCTAAGAGGGGGACTTGCACTTCACTTACCATTTGAAGGACACCAAAATATGACATCAGATATCCAGATTCCACTGCTTCCAAGCCAAAGAAATCCATAGAGATGATGGAAAACATAATCATGAACAAACCTGGAGGCAGGGTTAATGCAAAGAATACATCAATACACTTGCACTGCATGTAATAGCCCAAACCCTGCTCCCAGTCACCACCAGTCCAAGTCAGTAGCTCTCCCTGGGTTTGCCAGCACTGGGTATAAACATAAGCAGAATCCTATTCAAACTCATTGTAGTAATTTAATCTTTAAATGTTAACTTTTTTATCCCACTTACTTTCATCTTTAAATAATGTGAATATGTAGGCTGTAGTTTCAGCTGTTAATTATAAACTGGTAAATATTTGTATCACTGAAGCCAGCAAGAAAACATTTGTTCAGACAAGACTGTAACCATAAAAATAATCTGATTGGATTCCTCACCCCTTTTGCCTGACTTCAGATATTCACTGTGGGGAACAGCCCAGTGACATCAGCCAAAATGCAGTGCTTTCTCTGCACACCTCAGCAACCATGTCTGGGGCACGTGAAAATTCTCTTGTGTGGACTGATAGTGATATCAACACAAGCAGTCAGGAAAGTATGGACAGAAAGATCACAGACCAGGTCTGCTTTTCAATTGAGGCAATTTCTGGAAAGTGTAACAGAGAATGTCCACTCAATCTCAAATGAAAATACAATTCCGTGCCTTTCCCCCACTGCCAAACATACGCACATACAGGCATGCTTGCACATGCTCCCATCCTACAGAGAGAGCTGTCAAATTAAGAATATTATGTCAAAACACTGCACTTAAGTGTGGTGTGGGGTAAGAGCCTGCTGCTTCCCCTAGTGTCTTGTGTACCTGAGATGGACCAAGACAGCAGGAAATTTGGGCTCTGTGTGTGTGAAGAACCCCACAATGCACCTGTCAGAGATTACTGATCCTTCTGGGAGGGAAGAGACCAGATGACTTTTAGCAGTCCTGCCTTTCCTTGTAAGATCCTCTGAGTTATAAGGACTGGGTAAAAAGGAAGTCATGTTCCTCTCCTCCCTAAAAAAAAGCCAGAATCCAGGAGGCAGTATGTGAGGACTGAGAAGACAGCAGGTGGCCTGGCAAAGTGACACGGCATGGGGAGGATTTGCCAGCTTTTCCTGGAAGGATGAAGAGAGTGATTCCAGATTGCTGGTTAAAATGCTGTGGAGGAGTTGCTTCTTAATGAACAACTCCACTGCACCCAGCAGCCCAACCCCAGCTCTACCAGTGCAGCACCTGCAGCAACAAGGACCTCCCTCCAGGCAGCCCAAGCCTTTGCCTGGAGGGAGCACTGCCCTCCCGTCCCAGGACCTGCCACAAAGCCTTCCTGAACCCCACCGGAGACACGTTCTCCCCATTGACAGGAGTAGCTGCACCCCAGCCGGCTCCATGGGGTTGGGAGAGAGAGATGGGGGCAGGAAGGGAACCCTGTTCTTCTGCTCTCCAGCTATGTGGAGAAGGTGCCTGGGAGCTGGGGCTCATGAAGATCCATGGTTTTACCACACCCCTCCACAGAGCGCACCCCGTTGTTATCCAGTTACTTTGAAATTGCTCTCAGCTCAAGCCAGCTTAAGGTAACATGCAAATACCAGTATTTACTCACAACACCCAAATCAGGCAACAGGGTTGCACATGTTTATAAAAGGCACACGTGATGAAATGAAAGAAAAACCACACTTGGTTTCACTTGTAGGAAGATGAGATTGAAGCAGGCGCTCGCCCTTCATCCTGCACCCGCTGCAGGTACCACCTAGGAGGGGCTCAGCCTTCCTACATACCTGATGCTTCTTCCTGGTACTGCACTCCAGCTTCTACAGCTCCTCTCCCCTTTGAAGTCCCTCATCAAGTTAAGACAGATTTGGATCTTTCTCCTCCAAACAAGCTGCTTTCTTTCGGAGCAGGGGAATAGGCTGTGCTCTTTAATTAGAGTTAGACATTTCCCGGCTCCCCTGGAGATGCAAAGGTCTTGTTTTCAGATGGGTGTCACCTCCTGTGCCTGCCTGGTCCCCTTAAAGATCCCTGGAGGAGGGAGACCCCCTTGCCCCTCTGCTCTCAGCAACTAGAGCAGTCTCTCCCACTGGTAACACATTTATTGATGAAACCCACAAGGTGAGCCTCAGACTGAACTAAAAAATGATGCTATGCTCATTGGGACAAGCATTTCTTACAAAGATTTCAGCAGGTTCCCAGCTGGGTAGACTGCAGTCAGCTGAGCGCAGCCACATAAATAATGATAAACCTCAGTTGATGCTGACAGGCTCAATGTGAAAAAAAAAAAAAGAGGAAAATGGCATAAAATATCCTCAGAAACCTTGCCTTTTTTGAGGATGTCTAAGAAGAAGGTGAACTCCTTAGTAAACCTGGCATCAGTGGGATGAGTAACAAGGGTTATGCAGCAGAAAGCAGGGAACTGATTAGTGAGATGCAGTAATGATGACAAAAAAGCACCTATATGTGTATATATATATATATGTATATGTATATAGTGACATGTCTAAAAGCAGCCTGTGGTTTTGGAGGGCCAGCTTAGCAATCCTTACTGCAAGATGGTGTAAGAAGGCAAGCACAGGCTCTGGGAGCCCATCACAGCCCTCCTACACTGGACTGGAAATGTGATGGGATGCAGAGCCCTAAGGCTCACTGCAAAACTGTTCCACACGTAAAAGAAAATCCTTTAAAAAACAGGATGCAGGTGCTAAAGCAATCATGATGAAACCAGATTTTCCAAAGGGATTAAGCAGCCAAAGATTCATACAAGCAGCTATTTATCAGTATTTTCAAGGCCCTGGTGATTTCTTGTCAATGAGAGTTATGTTTGATATTTTTATCCTCTTGTTTTTCTTTCTGTCTCTTATCTACCACAATGCGGTGAGGCTCTCTTTTCTCAGGTCAGCTGAGAAGGTAACTGGGCTGTGCTGGAGCTGTCTGCTGCCTGTCCAATCCCCGGCAGCTCCTTTCCTGCAAGAGGCACAGAGCCCACATCTCTGCTTTTATGCAACGCAGGGAGGAGGTTCCCAGCCCTGCAGCCCTCCCGGGGAGGTTCTTTCTGTCTCAAACAAGCTAATTTTAGACAACAATGAGGTCCTTAAGGAACAAAAGGTTTTCTTTGCTGTATATCACAAACTTGTTTACAAAGTAAATAGAGAACGGTCTGTAATTTGGGCAATCTAATTAATTATACAGTTGCAGCCCGGAGATGAAAGGTAAATGAGCTCATGAGGAGCTCAGCCTCCAGCTGTGAGCTGCAGAGGATTAGCGATGGCCAGATCTCCTTTCAGCTGCTATCAGTTTGGTCAGTGAGCTGAAGTGAGGAGAGACCTGCAAAGAGAAGTCACCAGGATTTTAATCACTTCTCACTGTAGTGCGAGTGCTACAGCTGGAATCCCTCAAGTGAACCTTCTCCTCCCCTTACAGAAACACTCACAGGTATCCAGTGACAGACTACTAGGCTGTCTTAAATCCCAGCTTCACTGTCTCTGTCTTCTTTGCCTAGAAATTGCCTTGCAGTTTCTCACAGGAGATGTTTATTTTGGTTCAGTGAGCATTTCTGCTTTACAAAGGGAAAGAAGAATGGATTCTGTAACAGACAGGAATTTGCATTTTGGCAGGAGTGTCTAAAGCAAAGTGCATTTTGCCTGGCCTTTGGAAAAAAAGAGAGCACACAGGAAATTACTGGGGAAAGCTCACATGAATGCAGTCTCAGGCATTTTTAACAGAGAAATTATGCTACTTTAAGATGAGAAATGAGTCAGAATCAGCTAAGAAAACCCTCTTAAAACATCTGTCTCATTCTGTGAAGTACTGTCATTTTGTACACTTTTTAGAGTACAGTTTCAGAAGTTTTTTGTCTTAAACACTGTTAGGTTAAGCCAGCAGTGTTTTGAGACTGTATCCTGTCTCCAGTGGCAGGGGTAGGATGAGCTGGCATTACTGATCTCAGCCACTGCCAGCTACACATAATAATCAGAAATCCTTGACTTCTCTGCATGTTATTGTACAACTCCAGCTGGACTTGTTCCCCCAGAGATATAGCAAGGAATAACAGGTGAGCCTGACCAAGCCCAGGAATGCCACCCCCTTCCGATTCAGCCACACTCCACAGCTAAATTTACCTTCATTTGTAAACTGAATTTACAGTTTACAAATTAGAATTAAATTTGTAAATCATATTTCACGTTCTTTAAACTTCAAGAGTTTCTCCAGACAAAAATGAATTGGAAAAAGATGCAAAGTCTAAAATCTAGGGTGCCTTAAGTCCCCTCTTAGGATCCCTGTTGGGAAGTGCCTTAGCTTACCTTCAGATGCATGATACACACATAATAATGTGCACAAAACTCACTTCTTGAAATCACCATCAAGAGAAGCTGCACTTTTTGGGCTGACAGGGAAAAGAGCTGTGAAGGCTTTGTGTGTGGAAGAGCAGAGAACATCACCCTGTCCTTACACATCACTGATGAGGATGACATGCAGCTTGTCTCTAGTCAAGTGTGTGGGGAAAGAAGTTAGAGGGTAGGCAAAGCTGAAGATTATTAAATTGTGGCCAGGGATACATAGGCAAACAGGGACATATGAACCATGCTAGGACAGCAACTGAGGAAGCTTCAGAAGAAGCAGGGAAACATGGGTTTGGGAAAGGTTTGAGGTATCAGCGAGTTCCTACCACGAGTCAAAAAAACCCCAGCAGAATTATAAGGAAGATAAGAACAAGCACTCCCATCAATGTGCAAGGGAAGAAACATGCTGTGGGTCCCCTGTGTGCAGCCCAACCCTCTCATCCATCAATAATTTTCAGTTGTTGGGAAAAAAGTTAGGATACACATACACCTTAAAATCACTAAGTAAAATCAGGAAGGACCTCAGTCTCGGACAAAATAAATTTCTTCTGCTCTGAAGAGCTTGCAGCCCAAAGAGAAATGACAGACAAGAGGAAAAAAACATTTGCAGTGAGGGGGATGGAGAGATGAGTGATTTGCCAAAACTCGCAGATGCAGCCTATGACAAGCAGTGTGTTTGACATTGAGTCCCAGGGTTTTGACTCTGGGTAGCTGAGACTACCTGAAAGCATCCAACATCCCATCAGGAAGTGAATCCTCACTGCTCTGCGATCAAAGGCAGCATGCTTTCAGTAACTTGAGACAAGCCTGGCCTACAGTGTACATCATCTTATTTTAAATACATCAGCAATCATGGGTAATAGGTGAGATTTACCTATGGGAAGTCCAGCAAAGACCTTGACTATGAAAACTTCCATTACTCCTGGAAACTTCATCAGGCGCACGATTTCTCTGATGCTAAACAAGCTGCCAGACTGTGATGTGCCTGCAGAAGATGACATATGGGTTAATGCTCTGTTAATACAGGTTAAGGGTAGAAAGCAGGAAACTCTGAGACTCTGCTCAGGTTCACCACCCAAAAACCACACCTCTGCTGCACCAGCTTTGTGCCAATGGCAGGAGGTCAGGTGCTGGTGCCAGGTCTGCATGTGGAGGAACCTTCTGAGACAGTGAGGTTTCCTCCCTGGCCAGACCAAACTAACCCTCAGCAAGGGGTCCACAGTCCTCTTTCCTGAGACACATGACTGGGCTGGAAGACTCCAATTCTATGTGGCACAGTGATCAAAATATTTGGAATAATCCTCTTTCCTAAGCTCGCCTTAGACATTGAAGAGTCAGCATCTCAAGGCTGGGACATTTCTGCCCTTGAATGCAACTCCAAGGTCCTTCAGCAGTTCTTGCAACATGCCAGTCCCCTGCCCCTTTTCATGTACTATTTATCAGAAGCACAAAATACTCACTGTGTTCTGTCACATGATGGTCTGGCTTTGGTTTAGTCTGTGAAGGGATCCAAATCATTGCTATCAGGGTGTTGATGAGGCTTCCCACCAGCCCAACGTATGCAGGAACATAAACACTGCAAACAGGAAAAAGAGAGGTAACTGGATAAAAACCTTACACAAGATATTTATACCTCCATCCTGCAAAGGCTTGGGCATTTGGGTGAGGAACAATTCCTCCTGAAGTCACAGTACACAAGGTATCCTTTCATGGAGAGTTTGGAAATGACTGCAGGTTGAAATTTCACCAAAAGATGGCTATTGCTATCAAGATAGTTTATAATTTTATTAATAATAGGGTATAATACAATGCTTTTAAATTTCCAAGTGTTGGGAAAAAGAGCTTTTCTTGGTTTAATGAAGCTTAGAAATCTTCCCACAGAAAGTATCTGCTTGTTAGATTCATCTAATCACCATCTAATCCCCAATTTCATTCATCTAAGTATCATCTCACTCCTTCAAATTTCTCAGTGAAATAAAATGAAGTCATGGGAAGTACTCAAGGTGATTAAGGATGGTAGAATATGGCCTACAAGCAGAGCTAAACCCACCAGAGAGACTATACCATTTGAAAAGGAGGCATTAAAAATAAAAACGCGATTACAAAACCTTCTCAGAAGCAGCATTTTGACTTTTGAACTTTCCTCCAAAGGTGCCCAAAACCAAGCCAATATCAGCTACTGAATCTTTAACAGAAGTAGGGCCACATCCTTGGATGTAGGCACAGTGAACAACAATCATTAACTATAGTTGTAAAATGATAAAAAGGAACAATTACAACTTATCTAAAAAACACAGACACAAAAAGGTCAATAGAGCCAGTAATTAGTCCTCAATTATCACTGTCCTCTTAAAAGAGAAGATTAGGAAATGACTCCTCCTAGTCTTTAAGGGTATGTGGGAAGATTCCTCACTCTAAAGGGCTTCAATTTTGAGAAACACAGTAGAGCAAAGTCCAGGGCTGGAAGACTGAAACTGAGGGAAGTCAAGCTGAAAACAGAGAGAAGCATGTTTTAACAGTGAGAGTAATTATCCACTAAGCCAGCTCATTAAAAGTCTCCCCCATCATGAGAACCCATTTACTTGTAGGGTTTCCTAAAACACTTGCTTAAAACCAGCCACAGGAAGCAGGTTTGGGGTAGGAATGCCCAGCAGAAACACCAAAGGCTGGTGTCATGTAGGGCACAAGGGACCACCAAGGCATCAATTTTTAAACATTTTGGACTTCAGCAAAGAAATTCCTGGATTTTCAAAATCCAGAGAAGCCTTACACCAGAGAAGGCTTTGGAGTTGTGCAGGTCCATGTGGACTTGGAGGTGAGCGTGCCATCCCTGCATTCCCAGTAACCTGTGTTGCCAAAAATAAGATGTAAAAGTGAGCTGCAAGCCCCCAGCTGATGCTCCCTGTAAGCCTGCTGGTGAGAGACTGCTTATTTACTTTTACCAGCTTTTTACTGCTGATTTCCTTGTCAGACTATGGCATATGTTTTTCATGGAATAACCAGCAGCACTAATTGTAAAAGCCTCAAGTTTCCTCCGTGCTAGGCAAAGGCACAGTGTGAATAATTTCTGGAGTATTATTTAAGTCACAGAGCAAGAAAGTCAAAGATTGAGATGCAAACAAGCAAGAAAAGCATCAAAGAGCAAATATAAATATATATATATATATATACACATATTCCCGCTAATAGTAACAGCAAAAATCCCAGATGAATATTTTAATTCTCATTAATTATTATTAAAACAACAAAACCAGATAATATCTTTCTGCAAAAGGACTTAGCACAGTAATTTAGACCTGCTGCCTTCTATCCGCCAATCTGCTTTACTAATTAACTCAGACCACAAAATTAGTCATTTACTGGATCATTACTTTTCATTTTTAGTGCAGCAGATTGCCACTTTCTAAATTAAAATTATATGCCAAGCAGTTCCCAAACTACTGAAATTAAATTTGTGGACAAAAGTTTTTATCCAAGACATCCAGAATTTCTACTTTGCTTTGCTACATAAAGTAAATTTACTAAGAAAATAAAAAGGATAAAATAACCAAAATAAGTAGCTGCAGCTGGCTAAATAGAGGTGGGAGGTGGTTTTTGGGGGTTTCTTTCTTATTTTTTTTTTGGTTGGGTTGTTTTTGTTTTGTTTTGTTTTTTTCTGGGAGTTTCTATATTTTAAGCTTTCATTCTGATATGTAAAAAACACATCTCAAAAATTTGCATCAGCCAGAAAAACTTCCTTTCCAGTCCTATTTTTTCCTGAGGCTGTCCAGAATCCCACATACCAATGTAAATATGTTTAACTCTTCACATCCAAGAAGAATTACAGTAAGCAATGACAGAAAGATCCCTCTGTAAAACTGTAAGCAAACAATGCCCTGTGCCCTGGAAGCATAGGACTGTTAATTCACTGCTGTGAAAGGGAGAGGAGAACCTTGACAATTTACATGTTTGGGAAAACTTGGGCTTGATACAACAAATTTGTGGAATTTTTATACGGATGGTTGCTGAAATCAGAGAAATCCAATAAAATATGGAGCTCAAAACTGTGTTTCCCAGACAAGCCTGAAGCTTTCAAGGTCATCTGAAAATCCCTTTTTCTACATCTTTCTGTATGTGCTCCATTGTTTTCCATGCGTTAAGCACTGTCATTCCTTGATGGAAAGGTGAGGAAGGTACACCCTCCAGTTAGCCGCTCTGCTATCTCTTCCTTCAGCAGGGATGAATGCTGAAATTTGACATAACTCACCAGTGTCCTGGAAACCATCTTTTGCATTTGTTTGTTGGCTCATTTAAGAGAGATGAAGTGAAACCAAGGGAGGTGGTGGTAGGAACGCTTTGCTGGGTTGGTAGCACCTGCTGAACAAGAGTTGGCTCCTGGTCACTCATCTGTTTTTTTATTTTAAGATTTAAACATGGGCTCCCATCTCTGCTGATATCAGCCAGACTCCTTTTACATTCAGTTTTGTGTGTTTGTTTTATCAGGAGGAAGCCTCACCAGGAAGGGATGCAGTGGCACTATTAAGATAAATTAAATACATCAAGCAGGTTGCTCCCATGGGACCTTTTCCCATCTTCTTCCCCTTCCTGCTCTCCCTCTCATCCCTCCTGGCTGTCCACAAACCAGCCATGTGGAGCCAGAGTGAGCCCTGCCAAACCCAGCAGCAGATTTCCTGAGCAGGGAAGAACAAAGGCTGCGGGCAGGACTAATACAATTAAATTAAATGGAGCAAAAGGGCACAGCAGCTTTGGCAGCTGAGCTCATTGTATGGCCTCTTCTAGCTTCTTGTTGATTAATGAGAGATTAAGGGCCTTTACTGTCCTGGGCTTTATGGTCAAAATAACTTGGGTAACTTTATCTGTGTACTTCAGCACGTTATTTATAATTCCTCTGCTTTTTAATCTGTAGAGAGAGCCCCTTCCTGACTTTTGTCAGCAGCCTCCTTGGTCTTCCCTGGGGAATTCTTCTAGCAAAGCCCCTTTCAGCTGTCAGCTAAGACCACAGCTTCCCACTATTCTTTTTGTTTTTTCAGCCTTGCCATGAAGCAGAGGAATAAAGCGTGTTTTCCTATCCTTCATGGGACTGATGTATCCCAAGCTCCTGCTTTCATGAGGATGCAAAGATTTTGGCTGCAGAGAGCAAACATGTGAATCTAAGACTAGGAGGAACTAGGGTCAGGGAGGACTAGTTTTTGCCAAGATGACTAGCTGCAGCTTGTTCTGACTTAAAACTTTCAGAGACACAGGAAGAGAACATGAGCAGAGGGACCTGGAGGCCAGGAGCAGGCAACATCAGCCAAGCACTGCTTAACAACCTAACAAAAGCCTCTCCTTTTCACTTTCCTGAAGCCAATAGGTCAAATGTGGTGGATGCATTTAAAGCATCCTTTTAAAGAGTTTTAAAGGGCTTCAAAAAGTAGGATGGCCACTAGCCACAGAACCCACGGTACGGCCCAGTGCAAGGCTCACTCGGTAGCCTGCAGCCATGGAGAAGGGACAAGTGGCTGGCAGCTAGGATTACCCGTTTGGAAAGTCCATCCTTAATGCTGGTGGGAAAGCAGAACTGATGAGGAAACCATTAACAGTAATGTACTGGTAAACAGATTGACCCCCAAAAAACCCTAGGATCCAAAGCCAGCTGGAGGAGGGCTGCATTTCTTCCCATTTAATGCTTAACCAGCCCCTGTATTTACTGGCAGGTAAGTCCCAACCTTCACCACACCTCCTTCACAACCTGCTCCCATCAGGGTCAATTAGTATGAGCCAAATTAATGCAATCAGAGTTCAGTTTCTGAATTAAGAATGACAGTAACACAGCAAGGGCTCACAGAGGCTCTCCAACTCCTGTCACCTGTCCCTGAAGTCAGAGGTGGCACACATGAAGCATCTGAGAAACCTGGCAAACTTTAGAGCAAGTGCAGCTCTTGGAAAGCAGGACCCAGCCAAACAAGTACACGTGGGTCTATATAGGCACATCCATATGTACAAACATGCGTGCAGAGCATTTCCCTGTAGCTTTGAAGCAATGCTTTCAGCAAAACTTCCATGAAAAACTCAATCCTGCAAAGGCATGTGCAGCATGTTGGCACCAGGCAGCGGACCAGGAGCAGGAGAGAGGCCACTGACCATGCATTTGCAGGCATATTTCCAGGCATATTTCCAGTTCTCAGACAGGGAGCCTGAGCCGGCCACAGGTACCTGCCAGCCACAGCCCCCACACAGCGCCAAGCAGGGGTTGGGCTCCTGCTTCCACCAAAGGCAGCTACAACAAACCAACAGGGCCACAGTTTTGGGCTCCAGCCCACATTCCAGTCCTTGCTGGGCTGCAATTCCCATCTTTGATTTCCTGCCTGAGAAGCCTAGGACAGACCATGTAGGCAGGTATGTAGCTGCTGCTGCCAGCCGGGAGGCTGCATGCAGGCTGTGTGTGCCACGAGATGGTATCAGTGGCTTTCCCTTAGCATTCCAGCCACAGAGCCCTGCTCTGTAAAGCCCAGGAGAAGAACGCACGCCTGTAATTGCACAACTAAACGTTGCGTCAATACAGCGATTCTTTCGAGGAGGAAGCAGCTCCCAATG